TTACAGAATTGAAATTCACTCCAGGTATGTAGTTTTGATAAAGGTAAATCTCATTTTCTCAAAAGTGATAAAAGTGGACATTTCTCCTTCCTAATAGCCCTTCATTTCGTGATCTCATAACGTTGATCCATCTGTTCGCTCGACTGGCGTCGAAAGCTGGCAGCTGGACGCCATGGCATCGCTGTTGGTGTCGCTGCCATGGCATCCTAGTGCGATACCGCCCTTAAGGTCGTCTGATTGGCTGGAACTGTCTAACGATGCATCTATCTGATCGGTCCGTAAGACAAGATTTTTCGTTTTTTCAAAGTGTTAGCCGGGCTAACACAGTTAACATGAATACTCCGTCCTTGAAGTACGAGTAATTTTGATTGGTTGGTTGAACACTGAGAGGAGACCACCCCTTGGCTGCATGCAGATAACCATAATTTTTATTTATCCTATTAATCGTTTCCGTTGCAATATTGTCTTCGCTAAGCCAAGAAATTCTCCGTCTTTTATGAAACCTGAAGATGAATTACAGAGTTGTCGAAGAATGTCATTGTCCTTATCCAGAGACTCCCGAATCCACGCTCCACGTTGATTGTCCCTCCTATTTTGCATATTTATTTGTATCTGAGAAAAGCGTTTTTGCCCCCTGTAAAATATCGAGGGGGACCCCCCCCCCCCAAAGATCAGCCCATTACAGAAAAATTCATTCTTCGAAATTACACGGTGTAGGCACTCAGGAGTGTTCCGATATCACGTTCCTTGGACAACTCATTCATGTTTTCCGACGTCTTCCTCAGTCTCGACATCTTTTTCCCCCTGTTGAATCTGTTCGCGTATCCTACACGTACCATCCACGTCCAAATGATTACCTGACTTTGTTTTGTTCTGGTCGTATTTTCAGTTATTTCCTTGTGAATTCTTTCTTAACACGGTTTTAGCTGTTCGTAGCGCCTTATCTCTTATTATTATTATTAGTGTTCTGTCTGACGACAGGTCCATATGAACAGGATCCTTCCATCCTTTTCTCGGACTGGGACCTGTTCATATACGTTCTTGGCAGATGATCCAGAAGTGGTTTGCCATTGCCTTCTTCTGTGTGTGAATGGAGTAATTGTTGGGATGCCACGGAGGAAAACTCCGTGATGCCTAGACCACGGCCTTGCCCAACACAAGTTATAAATTCGGGCACCGCCGGGAATCGAACCCGAGACCCCAGGATTACAAGGCCAGCGTTCTAACCGCTAGACCACCGTGGCGGTTGGTTGTTGAATAACAAAACATAATTGATGTTTATACCTAACGTCTAAGCACGTGTTGCATGCGTCTCGAATTTTAGTCTAAGGAATAAGATTAACATTAAAATGCGTCTAGATTGTGCGAAACCTCGATTTAGAACATTTTTCTGTGTGTTTAAGTCACGTGTTGTGTGAACTGTTTATCAGATTTCTATCATGAATATAAAGAATGTTATCTGGGCCTTTGTGAGCGAATACCTACTTTCAAGTCTACACGATTTTAAATAACTTGGAGAGAAAAAAAACATCTAGAACAGGGGTGGGGAACCTTTTCATGTTGGAAGTCCGCATTAAAATTTAGCTGTAATCAAGAAACTTCAATTAGATATACTTAAAAATATACATTATTTTGTAGAAATCTAACTACTATGTACTTGATAATTTCAAAAAATGGAAACTATTTGTTAATTTTAAAGTTAACTAATCTTTTAATGACTTTGTTGGAAATAATTTGAATATTTGATTGCAGCATGTATTAATAAAAATAAAAAGATTTCTTCTGTAAAATTTTGATTCAGTCAAAAGGCCGCACTTAAGGACCTAGAAGGCCACATGTGGCCTTAAGGCCGCAGGTTCCTCACCCCTGATCTGGAATCTTGCTTCCATTCGTATAAATAATTTGGTGCAGTAGTGCAGTGGTCTGGGTTCGTAAAAAGTCAAATAGCCACTGTAATTAAGATCCGGAAACAGTACTGAATTAAGGACGTTCGTGTAAGGATTTTAATTCTCCTTTCACTGCGTTCCTCTGCGCAGTTAACGTGCGTCGCTGCCGGGAGACCTTCCACTCCTCCAGCAGCGTCAAAATGCGATCAATCATTCCGCATTTCCAAGAGACGATCCGAGGAACCTGCCCTTGGGGAAGTCGTCACAGAGCCAAGTTCAACGTCCTCAATGCATTTAATCTGCCAGACAATTAAATAGTAATTTTCTTCTGTACTTTCTCATTCCTGAGCTACCGAGAAGAAATTTCTCATGTCTTCTTCCCTTTTCTATTTCCTAAAACCTAATTTCTTTCGTCAGATCTATTTCCTTCCGTTGTTATTTTTAACTTCCTTTTGGTAACTGAACTGATCTCGGCAGTAGCCAGCTGACATTTCCCATGATGCTTTTCACTGCGGAACCGGATGTTCAGCGGCCGCCATATTGCTTTTATACCATCACGTGGTAAAAATGTTACTGGCTGTGCTGAAAACATTAGCTGTTATCATTACAACGCTTTATTACCGAATTGCTGTCTGCTTACTACACTCTATAAATAAAAAAAATAAAAAAAAATGTCTGAACACTCACAAACAGACTCTTGCTTGACAATTGGTACTCGACAAAAATTACTGCTAGGAATCACAAAACAAACTAAATAATTTGAAGATGGCTTCTCTCTGGGTTGTTGCGCCATGTTGTCTGATAGAACTTTACCGACGTTTCGGTCAGCTGTGAAGAAAACTGACTTCGACGTCTTATAAAGTTTGCCGCATTGTTTATCGTTTGATTATTGAATTGTTTATTTAACGACGCTGTTTCTGCTGTTTACAGGTGTTAAACTTGGTATTTTATCTAAACAGTCGAACATAGATTGAGGTTATTTGAGAAAAACGGCTCTGAAGAAGGAGGATAATCAGACGTGCGAAGTAAGGCGAAGAAAAGTGCTGTAACCGGTCGGATCTTGTTTTGTTGTCCGTCCTTTTACTCTGTATCAATTGTTCCTTGTATCTATCTTATGTTTACAATTGATTAATCTGGTTGTTCTTTTAATGAGGGCTGTGTGGTGGAGTTTCTCAGGAGGATTGTTGTAGAGTCTCTACAAGGAAGGAGACGTAATAAAGATTCATCGAGTTCGACGCAGTTGTTGGTTGATCTGTTTGATCCCCTGAAGTCCCCTGAGCTAGCACAGGAAAGTTTTATGATCTATAATCTTCACTGAATATTATTAGGGTTAGAAAATGAAGCAGAGATTGAGGGCCATATTTTGGAAATGGATACAGAATTTTTGTCGAAAATTATGAAGGGAAGAGACCATTTGGGATACCAAGTTACACGTAAAAGTATAACTTCTCAAGGTCCACAGCCCCCCCGTACAGGACACAAGTTATTTATTTAACATTGTGTGCGTTGAAAACTTTTCTCTTCTGTTGCAGAATGTTCTTTGGCGCCATTTTTGACTGGAACCACAACACAGAAAATCCCGTTTGTATTTCTGCCGCTTAAAGGTCAGATCGTACACCCGAGCGCAGAGATAAATTTTTCTGGTAAGTCATGGCCCAGCGAAATACTTCTGGGCCAAGAAATATATTTACGTCCCATCCGCTGAAAATGTAGCAGTGAGAACAACAAATAAAATTTATGCTAATGAAAGGAGAACAGTAAATCTAGCTGCAAAATTATAGAGATATAGGTTATCGCTAACCGCCACGGTGGTCTAGCGGTTAGAACGCTGGCCTTGTAATCCTGGGGTCTCGGGTTCGATTCCCGGCGGTGCCCGAGTTTATAACTTGTGTTGGGCAAGGCCGTGGTCTAGGCAACACGGAGTTTTCCTCCGTGGCATCCCAACAATTACTCCATTCACACACAGAAGAAGGCAATGGCAAACCACTTCTGGATCATCTGCCAAGAACGTATATGAACAGGTCCCAGTCCGAGAAAAGGATGAAGGATCCTGTTCATATGGACCTGTCGTCAGACAGAACACTAAATAATAATAAATAAATAAAGTTATCGCTGTCAACTACAATGAAATGTTTTCAAACGTTCTCTGAAGGTTAAATCCATACGTAGACCGCTTCCTTCCACATCCTTTTTAATTCATTGTTCACTATGAACCACACAATCGACGCTATATAGTTCTAGGCTTGGTATAGGGATGTAGCCGAACGACTATTGAATGCTCCGAAACAGTGTGTTGTGTTTGCCACGTGTGCATAAGACGAGCTATTTCGAGATAGGCTCCAAATGCCATGCGCATTTGATAGTGTCAATCGGCTGGCGTTAGATGTCTCTGCATTTGTTGCAGGTGTGGTCACGCCGATCTGTGTTGTGTCTGGAGCGCAGTTTCTCACCCGCGGAGGATGGGTGGATATCCACAACAACACTTACACAGAGCCACCATTTCGCCTCTTCAGGGACGAAGGCCGCACGTTCTTGCAGGTATTGCTTTTGGAATGGTGACCCCCGTGGCACGAAGCGAGTTTTATAGATCGCACTCAAGAAGCTAATTTGAACGTTCGTCGGTCCGACCAGACGGGTGTTCATAAATTGGAGCTTAGCAGATCCGTTAGCCAGCTCAAGGTAGCCAGACGCTCGCAACGAGCGTAATCCTGGTTCGATCTGATACGTTTTGGCTGATTGATTCTGCTGTGTTACAGTGTATAGAAAGTTAATTAATTGATTTATGGTAAAATAAACTCTATCACATATCAGCTACCGTCAATTATCAATCCACCAAACAAATCTAATTAAATACTTTGAAACTGACGTAAAACTAAGTTACTCAGATTTTTACTAGTGATATTCCTTTTACTCTGGTCGTAATGGTTATAAGCCATGCCACAGTTACTTCATTCCAGAATAATTTAATGATGAACAGTTATTTCGTAACAGAATTAATAAAATAAGCAGCAGTTACGTTACTGTTTATTCACGAATTTATACTTTTAGTGAGGTTATGTTAAAGTAAAATGAATTAGCTAGAACCGTAGCCACCATGGAATGAAATTCTCATCAAAATAAACCAAATCGGTACTTGTGGGTTATCGGGACACATCGCTGTAAAAATAGGTTATGTTAGGTTAGGTTAATGTGTGTGGATAAATGACATGTACTTGAAAGTTATTATATTTTATTTTGATATGCGTGAGATGTTAATTGTTGTTACAACCTGTCTCCGGAGGCCAAAATTCGCTTATAGATTTTAGAATCGTTTTAAAAATATCGCCGTAATCATTTGTACGCCGCCACACGAACTCAGCTAAATATGAATCCAGATTATGTCGGGCCATGCCTCTCTGCTTTTTATTCCGTCTTATAGCTGTTCTCCGTAGTCTTTCGGGAACAACAACAGAGTATACGGGTATACTAATACGCATGCGCAGTATTCCGTCCAATCCAAGACCAGATATTGGACTCTCCCATTTTGTGTCCCGATAACCAACAAATACCACAAAATGTATTCCTGTGTATTATCTGAGTGTGCAGTAATATATTTCAATCATGCCCTTAAGATTTAATTTTTTTATTAACTAGCAAACTAAATCAAAGTCCCCATCTTGCACACACAAAAGTAATAAGTACTCCCAACACCACCTTGTGGATATTTTACGTGTTGCTGCAAATTTTTAGAAATTCACTTAATTTCGTACTTTTTCGTAGTCTGTCTGAGATTGTGTAAATGACACTCATTTCGTTTATGAAAATATTTCTTAAATCATATTTTATGTGCTTATTTTGTTTAAAATAATTGATTATAAACTGTTTATATAAAAATAAAATATAATGTATTTTCTTTGAGTAACCATACTTTCGGTATTGTGTGTGTGTGTGGAAACATGGAATAACACAAAAATTACGATTTGGCTAACTATTAAGTTACTTTCAAGTGACTGTAGTCTTAATACAGACAAAACCTGTAATGAACAGTGGCCACTGAGATCTCAGTCGATGCCAGTGGTTCACAATCTGTGACCTTGTTGCAGTGGCTAGGAGAAGTGGATCTACGTTTCAGCATGGAGGGTCGTCTGATGCTCGTCCACTTAATGTGTAAGGACGCTGGTGTAAGTGGCCATGACCAAAGCATCTTCACCCCCTGCGTGGCCTTCAGAGTGGCTGGGACACCAAGTGAGTCCATATACGGACATTGCAGATAAATCCACTTACCGAGGCTTTGCCAGCTTTTATTCAGTTCCTCCTGGATACTGCATTAAATATATCACTTCATCATTTGTTATCATTTCTTATTTGGCATAGCGACAGCTGACAGAGGATTATTAAATAATCAAATAAATAAATCTTTGAGATACTGCTGCGAGTTGATTGGTTAATGAGTTTGTAGTTGACTTGCTTGAGATACAGATGTCAGCACATTAGATTATATAATACAGAATGGTATCATAACTGACGGGGAAATTGTGTTAGGAGAATATATGCAGATGTAACGATATTAATGACAACAAGAATTTCACATTGAAACTGCGGCAGAGACTGATGGCATATAACAATCCTCTGCCGT